GAACAACCCTAAAGGGTTGTCCCAGCTTCGGAACTCCCTTTGGGTCCAATGAGGCCTCTATGGGACAGCATCACAGATCACCTCCGCTTCCTTCCCTGTCCTTTCATAGTTGGTCTTTCCAAGAGCACCTTTGAATAAATTTCTCACACGCTAATCTCTGTCTCAGAACCTGATTCCTGGAGAACAATGTTATCCAGGTCAGAGAAAGAAGGGCTTTTGATCTCGTGTCCATGTCAACAGAAAAGAAGCCAAACTGTGTAAAATAATTTATAGAGGTTTATTTTGAGCCAAATTTGAGCACCATTGTTGCCACCTACCCAGGTTTATTTGCCCGCTGCCCAAGAGGAAGCCAATATGCTGAGACAGCAGGGTTTACAGCAGAGAAAGTTTATTCTGCATAGCGCTAAGTGGGGAGACAGGAGAAACCTCTCAAATCCGCCTCCCCCAGAATTTGGAAGACAGGATTTTTAAAGATAGTTTGGCATAGGAAATTGAGTCTGCTAATTGGCTGGGTTTAGGGTGGAACCATTGGGTTGTAGAAATTGTTTTCTTTGCTGACCATGTTCTTGGATGAAGGTAACAAGACCAGTTGAGTCAATTCCTCAGTACACGATGTGGGTCTCGATGGATCAACTGTTCCACTGGAATGCAGGACCTGGAAGATATCTCAGAAACTACCCCTGGGTTTCAAAAAGAGTGTGTTATTAATATCTATGGAGAAAGCTAAGGATCTTTATGACCACCAACTATGTGGCATCAGAGTAGCAATTATAGGGAAGCAAACGGGACAGTGGCTAATTATAGTCATTATTTTTAGCTAGGCCTGTGCCTTCTTTTTATCTAGGCCCTTACCATAGTTCTTGCCTTGCACCCTTTTTATTAATTTGTAAGGGAATTTTCACCATGGCCTGAAACTCTGCCCAAGAAGCCTTGAGCACGTGGACTGGCTGTGGCTGGTTTACAGTTTGGTTTTATACATTTCAGGGAGACAGCGGTTACAGGTAAAGTCTTAAATCAATACATGGAAGTCATACATTGGTTTGGCCCAAAAAAGTGGGACATCTCAAAAACGGGGGTGGGTAATAAATAGGTGGTTTTAAAGACTTTTTGACTTGTAATTGGTATTCTCCAGGAATTAGGGGGTTGGGGGGTAGACTCACAACTAATGGACACGGTGAGCAATATAGAGAGGAAGGGCATGCCTCTAACCCTCGCTTGGGTGAGGCAAAGACATAAAATGTAACCAAAATGTTTGTACCCTCATAATATCCTGAAATAAAAAAAAAAGAAATGGAGCTTTGTCCAAAGGCCTGAAATGTTTTAAATTAAGATAAGTCTGAGGCCTGGGGCAGTGGGTCATGCCTATAATCCTAGCACTCTGGGATACCGATGCAGGAGGATCACATGAGCCCAGAAGTTCTAGACTAGCCTGAGCAAGAGCTAGAAAACACTAGCTGGGCATGGTGGCGCATGGCTGTAGTCCCAGCAACTCAGGAGGCTGAGGCAGAAGAATCACTTGAGTCCAGGAATTTAAGGCTGCTGTGAGCTAGGCTAATGCCACAAGCAAAAGAGCGAGACTATCTCAAAAAAAAAAAAAAAGTCTGTTAGAGACAATCTACCAGCCATATATTTCTTTTTGTTTTTTTAACATTCTTTTTTTTATTTTATTTCAGCATATTAAGGGGTTGCAAATGTTTAGGTTTTGTATATATTTGTTGTGTAAATTGAGGACCTGTATATTTTTCTTTTAAAGTCCTAGGCCTATTAATGAGTTACAAAGGATGTCTACAAGAAGAGAGGGGGGCATGAGGAATGTCTGACCTCCCTTCTCATGGCTGGCAACTCAGTTTTAGGGTATCCCTTTGGCCAAGAGTAGGTCCACTCAGTCAGCTGGTGGAGGGGAGCTTTAACATTTTGTTTTAGTCCACATCCAGAAGAATATGGGTGTGTGGTATACAGCAAGTTATGGTTCTAGCAAAAGCAACAATATGTATAAACACACTGTCAATCTAAAATAATCAAAAGGGGCAGAATATAGTTTAAAGAGAGTTTGTTCAAGCACAAAGTTTGAGGATGGGCTGTCCAGAAAGCACAGATTCCAAAGAATGGAAGTCAGTGCACCAAAGTGTAGAAGTTTGTCATCACTTCTATATAGACAAAGCTTAAGGGTGTTTAATAGAATTTCAGCATCTTTCTATGTAAGGCTTAATGCATAGTTACAAAGATCTGATTAGTTGAGGTGATTTTTTTTTTCTTTCAAGAAAGGTATATTTAACATCCCACACTGAAGATGGAACAGTCATGTGGTCTTGGGCACCATCTGGTCTGAGGTAGGTGCAGGAAAAAAAGGCAGTTAACCTAGAACAAATATCAGTGATTGGAAGAGGGGAGGTCTGGTCTCATGTCTCTCCTAGTCATTTACAGAACATGAACAAAGAGAAAGAGTTAAGCTATAATCTAAAAAGCAAACTAGCAAACATGCTACCTGACTCAGTCTCCAGAGCTTAACTTTCCTTTCTTTGGTAATGAGGGTCCTGAAATTTTATTTTCTTTTACAATACTATGTAAAAGAAGATTGGGCAAATGAGAAAGAAGAAAGTGATCAAGAATGGTGTTATTAAAGAGATGGGATGTGAGCTAAGGTCTTGGAGAACAGGTAGAATTTGGACCCTGGGGTCATTAGCATCCTCCAAAAGGAAAGACAGATATTCAAGGCAGTAACAGTTGAGGAGAAATGAGGCTACTTGAAATCCCCAACAGAGAAATGGGAAGGGGAGATTACGTTTCACAGCAAATGTACCAGGCTCTTTCATGCCTCATGCTTTATGCAGACTTCCTTCCTTCTTTTCCTTCTGCCAGAATTTTAATCCTTGAAGATTATAGATTCGAGCCTACTGTTATAACAAAGAAGTCGTTGTCAGGGAGGAAAGACTTTTTCCTCTACCCTCTTACGTTCAGTGCCTGAGGCCTGTGAATTAGACTGAGAAAGAGAAATTAACAGGAGAAAAGAGTCTATTTGTATGCACAGGAGAACCAACAAAAGAAGTAGCTGGCTCATTAAATGATTGACATTAAATAAGTCTTAGACACCTATTTTAGTAGGGGAAAGGGGAGAGGGAGAAAACTAGAAGAAAAACAAATAGGTTTCTTAAGGGACTCCGAATGGGTTTTTACAAGAACAAAGGGGAGATCAGAAAGTTTGTGATACTGTTCATCTATACCAGTATGAGTAGGCTTTCTGTCCTCTTGAAGGCCATAAAACTCCCCTGGAGAGGGTACTTATGGTGGGGTTACTCTTGGTTTCCCATCTGTGAGTAGAAGCCTCCCCAAAGAGGAGAATTATGACAGTCCTCATTTCTCAGAAGTTTTTGCTTTTAGTCAGAATAAGGAAACTCCAAAAAGGTTTCTTTCTGCATCTATTGACTCTGAAATATCTTCGGCTTAAAATAATCTGCATACCAACTCTGGAGTTCTGAGTGGATCCCCACATAGCAAAGCATAGAGCCATAATGTCCCAAATTCCAGCTCCAGCATTTACTGGCTAGCTGTGGGATGTTGAGCCAGTTGCTTAATCCTACTTTCCTCTTCTGTAAAATGGGGAAAATTATAATACCTCCTAAATTTGTTGGGAAGATTGAATTAATGCTAAGCCCTTAGGAAAATACCTGGTACATTATCTTTAAAATGCATGCTAATTATTACCAAGATTACTCTAAGATGATGCACACAGAACTGGGGGGAAAAGAATTTTCTCACTCGGAGAAAATTCTCAAAGAAAATAACTGACAGGACTTGACAGCTCTGTGCATCATGGTGAAGCACTAGGCAAACAGCTTAGGTTTTAACTACTGTTCTGCCACTTAACTGCCCCATGCCTCAGTTTCTCCATCTGTAAAATAGGGGTAATAGTAGTATACACCCTTCTGAGGCTGTTGTGAGAATTGGAGATTAGTAACTGTTAAGTGCCTAGATTAGTGCTGGGCACATGGTAAAGAACACAGTAAATGTTAGCTTTTACCATCATGGATACACGGTGAGGAACCTAAGTTCTAGCCGATGTTCTCGGCAGTCACAACTGTATGGTCTTCACGCTTCTTAGTTACTTCATCATCTCTAAGCCTGAATTTTCTCATCTGAATCAAAGATGACTCAAAGAGCCAGGCACAGTGGCTCACGCCTGTAATCCTAACACTCTGGGATGCCAAGGCAGGAGGATCGCTTGAGCTGAGGTGTTTGAGACCCCTCTGAGCAAGAGCGAGACTCCCTCAATCCCCCCTCTCTACAAAAATACAAAAATTAGCCGGTCGTTGTGGTGTGTGCCTGTAGTAGCAGCTACTGGGGAGGCTGAGGCAGGAGGATTGCTCGAATCCAGGAGTTTGAGGTTGCAGTGAGCTGTGATGACGCCACTGCATTGTATCCAGTGCGACAGAGCGAGACTGTCTCAAAAACAAAGAAAAAGTGACTCAAAGATTCTCAAGGGTGCTGGTGCCAGTGGCAGAGCATGGGAAACCAAGGGGGGGCGCTTCCTTGGCAGGGACAACACACCCTGTGGAAGGATCCCTGCCCGGCCCTGCTCTCTCCACTACGCCGCCTGCCTTCGCGAATTAAATACCCGGGTCGGCCTGGCAGTGACCGGCCTGGCAGTGACCGCAGGAATCTGAGTGCAGATTTGCATAAGGAGGCGCCTAGGAGCCTCCGAAGGGCCTTCCACCAGCCACCCCACATGGGGCCCCAGAGCACGAGCGCGGCGGCGGCTGCAGGCCGGAGCGCGCTGCTGCGGTCTGGTGCGGCAGTGACCGCAAGGCAGAGCCCCAGGTAACCGCAGGGACCGGCCGTCCATCCCCGCTGCCCCCGCGGCCTCGGTCCGGACGGGGGCGGGGGGGGGACGAGGGGCGGGGACAGGGCGGGGACGGGGCGGGAACCCGGCGGAAACCAGGGCGGTCCCGGGCTTACCCCGCCAGCTCCACCTCCGCAGCGTTGACAGGACTCGCTGCGCCGCCAGGATCAGCTGTTGGGGACCAGAGGAAGAGGAAGGGGCGGAGCTGCTTTGCGGCTGGCCGCCGGGCCGTCAGCCGACCACAGCGAAGGGTAATCAGGTGTCCCCAGCGCCGCCCAGGGCCCTGAGGGCCAGCCCGGGCCTAGGCTGGGGGCCCTGGACAGGCGAACCGGGCCTGTCTAGGAAGCCCAGCAATGCCCCGCCACGGAGTGTCATCCTGCCAGAGCCACCCCAGGTCCCGCCGGGAGCAGGGACTGGACAGCTCCTCGGGAGCCCCCCGACTCCTTTGGGTGGGCCTGGGCCTGGCGCTGGCGCTGGCTCTGCCTGACTCCCTGGTTCTGTGGGCCCCGGCGGCAGCCCACCCTCTTCCTGCCCGAGGCCATCCTGCCACGTTAAATTCCATAGTGCCCCAGCTCCGGGATGCCTTTGGGTGGCAGAATCTCACCTGCCCAGCCTGCAAAGTCCTATTTACAGCCATCGACTTCGGGCTGAAGGTGAGCTAAAGGGGCTGCGGGTGGAGCCAGCCAAAGGGGACCGCTGGAGTGGGGGCTGGGCCAATGCGGGAGCCCTGGGGGGTCCCATGGCATTCCCGAGGGAGAGGGCAGCATCTGCGAGCCTTTACCGAGTTTGCCCCCCTTTGGGGACACCCATGGCAATGTGCCACCGCCACCCCATTGAGATCTTTGTAAAGTAGGAAAAGAATGCAGACAGTGCCCGAGAAAGCAAGTAGGTGAAGCAAAGGCCTGAAATGCCAGTGGCCACTGAACTAAACAGGAAGCCATGGCCTGCTGCTGCCTCAGTCACAGGACAAGGTCTGGGAGGCAGGGGGTGCACTGAAGTTCCTCACCATGGTGGCACTGGGTCCAACTCAGCCCCAGTTTGGATATGGAAGCCCAAGGGGTGGTGGCCAGGGGGTAGCCTGGTTCCCCTGCTCTGACATCTCACCACTCGTTCCTCCCACCACAGAAGGAGCCCAGTGTGGCCCGGGTGGCCTCCATGGCCATCAAGCTGTGCAAGCTGCTAAAGATAGCACCACCCACTGTGTGCCAGTCAGCTGTCCAGCTTTTTGAGGATGACATGGTGGAGGTGTGGACACGCTCAGTGCTGCTCCCATCTGAAGCCTGTGGCCTGCTCCTGGGCTCCACCTGCGGACATTGGGACATCTTCTCGTCTTGGAACATCTCTTTGCCAGCCACGCCGAAGCCACCACCCAAGCCACCCAACCCCCCAGCCCCTGGCGCCCCTGTCAGCCGGGTCCTCTTCCTCACTGACCTGCACTGGGATCATGACTACCTGGAGGGCACAGACCCTAACTGTGCGGACCCACTGTGTTGCCGCAGGGGCTCTGGCCTGCCACCGAACTCCCAGCCAGGTGCTGGATACTGGGGCGAGTACAGCAAGTGTGACCTGCCCCTGAGGACCCTGGAAAGCCTGTTGAGTGGGCTGGGCCCCGCTGGCCCTTTTGATATGGTGTACTGGACAGGAGACATCCCCGCCCATGACATCTGGCAACAGTCTCGACGGGACCAGCTGCGGGCCCTGACCACCATCACAGCCCTCGTGAGGAAGTTCCTGGGGCCAGTGCCAGTGTACCCTGCTGTGGGCAACCATGAAAGCACGCCTGTCAATGGCTTCCCTCCCCCCTTCATCAAGGGCAACCATTCCTCCCGCTGGCTCTATGAGGCAATGGCCAAGGCATGGGAGCCCTGGCTGCCTGCTGAAGCCCTTCGCACCCTCAGGTACTCAAGGTCCATGGAAACCCAGGAAGGGAAAACAAATGTGGATGAAAGTTAAGAAAGGGAACCTGGGCATTATCTCTGACTGCTCCAGCATGAGTCCTCAGTGCCCTTCACTGGCACCTCCTAATCTGACCCCACTTTCCCAGCCACCATCCTTCGAAGGGCTGGCAGCGCCGCAGTCTGTGTCTTTGCTCATCCCCATGTTCCCACCTTACGTGGGCCCAGGTCCCAGGGAGATCACCTCTGCATGATCTTTGCTTCCCACTCTAGTTCAGTCTTGCTGCTCCCCTGAATTCCTAGAGCCCTTAGGCCTCTGAGCCATTCTTTTCTGCCAGACCCTACAATTAGTAGTGTTTGGTGTCCAGCTAGAATGTGAGCTCCTTGAGGATGGGGGATGATGTCCTGCATGCCTCTGCCCTCCACCCAAATGCCCCGCACAGGACTGGGAATGCAGGACCAGGATGATGAACGAGTGTTGACCCCACATGTTTACTTGTTTCAGAATTGCGGGGTTCTATGCCCTTTCCCCACGCCCTGGCCTCCGCCTCATCTCTCTCAATATGAATTTTTGTTCCCGTGAGAACTTCTGGCTCTTGATCAACTCCACAGATCCTGCAGGACAGCTCCAGTGGCTGGTGGGGGAGCTTCAGGCTGCTGAGGACCGAGGAGACAAAGTGAGGGAGGGTGGTGGGGATAGGGTGGTGGAGGTGGGGTGGGGGGAGCTGGGGGAGAATCAGGGTCCGGGTGGGCTAGAGCACCTGTGGACAAAGAAGCCTGATTTTCTGGCGCTGTTCCCTGGGACTTCAGCTCATGAGCGCCCCTGGAAGCCCTTTCATTCATTTCTCCCCTCTCTGGCCAGGACTCTCTCACCCCTTGATGCCCTGATAACCACCCTCAACTCTCCCTCCAGGTGCATATAATTGGCCACATTCCCCCAGGGCACTGCCTGAAGAGCTGGAGCTGGAATTATTACCGAATTGTAGCCAGGTAGGAAGGAGATGAGGGTGGAAGTGGGGTTAGGGTGAGGGGATGAAGTGTCTCAAAGTTGGAAATTCCCTTGGGTATCTCACCATCCTTGTCACCCCATGTGGTGGGGAGGCTACCAAAACAGGTTCGAGAAAGAAAGCATTCCATCTCCCCAGATCGCTTCCTCCCTCTCCCTAGAATCTTCTGAATATAATTAGTATCTTCTGGTCAGGTATGAGAACACCCTGGCTGGACAGTTCTTTGGCCACACTCATGTGGATGAATTTGAGGTATTCTATGACGAGGAGACTCTGAGCCGGCCGCTAGCTGTAGCCTTCCTGGCGCCCAGTGCCACCACCTACATCAACCTCAATCCTGGTGAGTGAGAAGGAAGGGAGCCTTCCTTACCCTGGAGTTGATGGGATGGGAGGCGGTGGGGGAAGGAGGGGAGAGCACAGGGTGGGCGGGATATGCGGCCCCTCCCTGGACTTGCCTTTGCTCCTCCTTTCCCCTCCACTCAGCCTTCTTTCCTTGCAGGTTACCGAGTCTACCAGATAGATGGAAACTACTCCGGGAGCTCTCACGTGGTCCTGGACCATGAGACATACATCCTGAACCTGACACAAGCTAACGTGCCCGGAGCCACGCCGCACTGGCAGCGCCTCTATAGGGCCCGAGAGACCTACGGGCTGCCCAACGCACTGCCTGCCGCCTGGCATGACCTGGTATATCGCATGAGAAGCGACACGCAACTCTTCCAGACCTTCTGGTTTCTCTACCATAAGGGCCACCCGCCCTCGGAGCCCTGCGGCGCGCCCTGCCGCTTCGCTACTCTGTGCGCCCAGCTCTCCGCCCGCGCCAACAGCCCTGCTCTTTGCCGCCACCTGGTGCCGCATGAGAACCTGCTTGATGTTCAGAGCCTGTGGCCGCAGCGGCTGTTCTGCTAGGGCCCCAGGGCCCGGAATTGGGAAAGTTCTTTCTAGGAGGCAAAGCCCCAGAATGCTGCTGTGGTTTAACCTGTCTGGTGGAAGAGCCCATCCCTGGGCCCCAAGTACGCCGGGAAACTGGACCTTCTCCTTTCCTGGAGCTGGTTTAGCTGGATGTGGGAAGGGACGGCTGCTCTGTGCCCAGTATCTAAACTGCCTTGGAGCTGCTGTCCTTCATGGCCCTGGAGCCGAGGCCTAAACTGACACTGCCCTGGGCAGACCAGACAGGAGCTGTTACCCCAGGCCTGTGCTGTCCAGCCAGGAACCCGGTACTGCTCCTGCGGCCTGGTCCTGCCAGGCTGTTAAAATAAAGATAAGAGACTAGGACTCCAGACCCCTCTGTGACTATTCTGATTTCTTCTTTCTAAGCAGGCAGGGCAAGGGGACCTTGGGAGCAAGATCATAACTGAGGTGCAGGGCGATGGGGGTGATGGCATGGTGTAGGCATAGGAAGGCACACAGCAGTGCAGACAGACTTTATTAGTGATATCAGTACAGCAGAGGTGCCCACAGACCAGTGGGGAAGGGACCCATGACTAGACCAGTCCCCTCCCTTCTGTCCTTGCTGGGCCCTAGGAGGATGAGACCTGGCCTGGACCAGCTCCTCCTGCTCCACCTGAAACACACGGGGATGGAGAGCCTGGGGCTGGCCTTGCTTCCTGCTCCTCTTGTCATCACTCCAGTGTTACCACTTTCCTTGAAGGGATTAGATTTCTCCCTCCCCAGGCCCTAGGCAGGGAACCCCAGCTACTGGGGAGGGGCAGCTCTGGGGGGGGGCCTGAGGCCTAGGAATAGCCTCTATGGCCCCTCCCTGCCCCATACCCGTTAGTTCCCAGGGGCCCGACACAAGCAGGTGGAGGGAGGGTGGGGGCTTCTTCATGGGGTATGGGCCCCTAACCGTTTGGGCTTAAGAGAGCCCCACAGCGACTGAACACCCCTGCGGACAGTCCAGCCTACACGCCGGGCAACAGACTCAGCAGGGGGTGCTGGGAGGCAGGAGGTGGAGGCCTGCGAGCGGGCATCCAGACACTTCTGGTAGCGAAGCTGCAGAGAGGCATGTGGTGCAGTCACTCTCCAGCCTGCCCCATGTGGGGCACACCCCCACCCCCACCCCCCCACCGCCCTATGGGCTTACCATGCACGCGGCCTGCACAGCCTCCGAGAGGCTGGCAGCATTGGGCTCGCACCAGAACATGTGGCAGCAAAAGGAGGCTGGGCCGGCAGCCATGATGAATGCAAACGTGTGGACATCTCTGCCCACAGCCAGGAAGGAGAGGAAGCGCACCCGACATTCCCCCAGCACTGCCTCTGTCTGGAGGAGGGAACTCAGTCAAACAGGAATGCCCTCTAGCCCCTGTGTTCCACTGAGGCACATCTATCTTATTGGCAGCTCTTCCCCTCACCCCCAGTCCTTTTCCCTCCATGGCAAGGCACAGCCATGCCTTCTCCTCCCCTAGCTCTTTACCTGCTGGTGCAAGATGGTAAGGGTAGCAGGGGCCACGCTGACGTGACTTGGGGTCCACTGCTCACGGCTGCTAGAGGAGAGGACTGACTCCAGAGCCCCGTTAATGACGTCCACCCCTAGAAGATATGGACAAAACATGACACCACTGAGGGAAGGGAGGAGCTACCCCAGCTTTACCCAAGACCTTCCAGTTCTGCCCAGGCAAGCCCAGGGCCTTCGCTCACCCCCACTTCACCAGCCCACAGAGCCCCTGGGGCTCTCTTCTTTGGCTTCTGTGACTTGACACTTTGCTGCTGTTTTTCTTTTTTCTTTTTTTTCTTTTTTTATTTGTTTATTTTCTGGCTAGCCAGGGTCCAAGCCCTAGAGCACCAACGCAGTGGCCACTCTCACAGGCAAGGACCTGTTTTTCTATCTTGAATCCTAGACTTGGCTTTCTTCACTGACTCTGCCTCTTCCTCCAGCCTCCTAAGCTGACTGACCCCTCAAAGTTCTGACCTCCCCAAATCTTGCTCTCTCAGTGCTTAGCACATTCAGCTGAGCACTGAGCTCCCTGCTCATGTCAGACCACCCTGCTTCATGTCATAACAATGACTCCCGAATCAACCCCTACAAGCCAGTCCTCTCCCAAGACCTACTCTTTTTTTTAAGATATCCACTTGTACTCTGCGAAGTCATTACAGTGTGTTTTCTCATTTGTGCCCGAACAATCTCACAATAGATTATTTAGTTGCCATTTTAAAGATAAGGAAACTGAAGCTTAGAGAGATCAGGTAATACTCCACAGGCCATATTGAGGAATGAGGAGCTGAACGCAGGCACTCTGATTCCAGAGCTTGGGTTCTTAGCTATACCTTTCTGCTACCTCTTTTTCTATACTTCTAGTTTTTGGAACGATATAGAAGGGCTTTCAGAATCTTAGTTCTACTCAGGTATGTCTATAATGTACTCCAGGGCCAAGGAACCCAAGGTTCCTGACTTTTAGATCAATCAACTTTCCCTTATAACACAAGTCTCCACCTCAAACTGCTGTTAAACATTCTGCTCATGCATCCCACTTTTGCTTGCACTCAGCAGCGAACCAAGACAGGCACACATGACATGGCAAGGCATGGGTTCTAGTCCCTGATCTGCTCATGAACTGGCTATGTCACCTACTGTGTCTTCACACAATGCCAACACAAAAAGCATATGCCTCTGCGGTCCACTCCCGGACTCTCCACCCCTTCGAGTGCCCCGCAGCTCCCATGAGAAGCAGACTATGTGGACCTTTTGTGGACAAAGGACACCGCAGAAGACAAATGTCTTCCTTGAAAGTCCTCCCCCATCTTGGCCTTGCTCATCTTACATCTGGCTGGATCAAGGCCAAAGTTCTATCCCAGGCATGCAAGTCCTCCAAAAACTGGCCTCATCTGAGCTGTCAAGACTCATATTTTACTGCTCCCTGAGCTTCAAATGATTTTCGTAGCATCTATTAACATCTAGTCTTGGCAAGTGGCCTGCTAGGCAGATGGGGAATACAAAACAAGAAAAGAGATGCCCTCAAGGGACACAGACTGCAGCTGAGGGAAAAGCCTCTGTCTGGATTCTGAGAAACTCTGGATTCTCATCCTTCGGGGCTCCAGGGCTCCACTCAAGTCCTACCTGGGAAGCCTTCCTACTGCAGGGCAGGGAGTGGACAGCTCTGAGGCAACTCTTACCACAACATCTTGTAACTGCTGGAAAACCTTTATCCACACTGGGCTGTGGCCATCTCAAGAACAGAGACCGAGTTTAACTCATCCCTATGTCTGCAGTCCTAACACAGGGTTTATCTGCTGAAGGAACTTTAGACACATGAGCAAGTCACCCTCAAGGTGGCATGGGCAAATACACCCAAATGAATAAAACCAAATGACACAGGAGTCCACAGAAAGATGACAACACAGACAGGAGTGGATGAGCCAGGTTAGATTGCCAAGGGCTTCAAAAGCCAGGCAGAGGGGTGTGATGTTTATGACATTTAGGCCAGGGCCATAGGGAGTCTCAATGCTCATGGGTGTGGGAGGGACATCAAAGTCAAACTGCTGAATAGATGAGGCTGTGGGGGTGGAGTCTGGCCTCAGTGTCTTGGGAGGTTTCACAGAGAAGTAGCTAAAGCGGTAGAACAACATGGTCTAGAAATAGGCTGTTAGAAAGGCTGTCATATTTGGTAACAACCCAGGACTGAGAACTATACCCTGACCTCTAGCTTCACATTCCCAATCCCCCTTATCCTGCTGTGCCTTTTTTTTTTCTTTCATATCAGTTGTTGCTGTAACACACTAGCCTTACTTATTTTACTGTCTGTCTCTCCTTGCTAGAATGTAAGCTATATGAAGGCAGGAATCTTTGTCAGTTTTGTTCACTAATGTATGCCAAGAACCTGGAGTAGCGCCTGCACTCAATCATTTGCTGAATGAATGAATCATCAATGAATGAATACTGCAGCTTCAGGAGGGGCTGGTGTTATGAAAGGTTAAAAAGGGAATGAAATAAGGGAACTCAGAGCAGACCCATGGAGCTGATGGGGTAGTCAGGGCTGCAGGCAGCTGATCTGGCACAGTGAGGACCTGTGTAAGGTGGCAGATGGAAAGAAGCAGATACAGGAGTATGAGTAACAACTAGAAGAGCCAACAAGGGCTTAGAAGTTCAGAGTAAAGAGGAGGGAACAAAAACAAAGTTGTAGGGGTCAGCCAAGCCTCCCCTCTCTCCCTGAGCATGCTTTTCTCACTTCCAGCTCCAAGACTTTGGTGGCACCATTGAACCCAACTGAAATACCCATTCCTCTCTGCAAATCTGAGCCTTCCCTCGAAATCCCAATTCAATCCCCACCTTTTCAAAGAAGGGTTCTCTCTTTGAATATAATGTTTTGGTCATTAAAGTCAGCATGTTATGAGGGAAAGAGAAGAGAATTGAAGATGACCAGGGTTTGAGACCTAGGTCTACCTTTCCTGGCCATGTCATCTGAGGCAAGTCTCATTCATTCACTAGTTTGTTTATTTATTCATTCACCAAACATTTATTGAGCTCCTCCTAAATGTTTTTGGTTGGCATAATATCTGACCACTCCTTGAAGCAAGCAGCCTTTTCCTTCCTCCCATTGCTCCCCTGCTCTCATGGTCCTTGGCAATTTCACCCCCTCCCATCCATTAAATTTTGGAGGGCCTCAAGACTAGGCCTAGCCTTATTCTCCTCTCACTTCAGGCTGCCCACACTTTCCAGGGTCAGGAGTCATGCCACTCCACCCCCATGGCTCTGATTACCTCTGTAACCCAGTGATACCTACACTTCTGTCTCCAGCCCAGATTTCTCCTCTCAGCTCCAGACCTGCAAATCCAACTTGACTTCCCCACTCAGATTTCCCAAAGGCACCTAAAATTCAGCAAATTCAGCATGCCCAAAACTGAACTCACCAAAACTATACCAAAACTGGCCTCTTCCGGCGTCTGCCACCTTTGGAGAATGGCACTACTACCCAGCAGGCCTAAAAGCTAAGAACCCAGGAGTCATCCTTAATGCCTCTGTTCCTTACCCCACGTTCAACCTATCACCAAGACCTGTTGACTTTAATCATCTAATCCTCTCTTGAACTCACATACTCCTCTTCAGCTCCGCCATTGTCCAAGATCCTCCCATTACTGGCCACGCTACTGAAGATCCTCCTGACGGAGCTCCCATATACACCCCTACCTCCACCCACTTAACATCCTCCTATGGTATGGCCAAAGTGAGCTTTACAAAATTCAAATCTGATTAAGTCAAGTACACTCCTGAAGACTCTCTGATAGCTCCTTGCTGCCCCAGGATGAAGAATACATCATTAACGTAGCCTATGAGGTTCCTGAAAGTCTGACCACTGCCCAGATTTTAGTCTCATCTTGCACCACTGGCCTTCTTTCTTCCTTCGAAGTACCAAAGTGCCCCCCACTATGACCCTTGCACACACTGTTCACTCTGCCTGGAATGATCTTTCCCTGTCCTGCTTCTACGTCCATCCCACTTTACCACATTCATTTCTATTCATTATTTTTCATCTTAGCTCAATGTCACTTTCACAGGGATGTCTTTTCTGACCACCCAGACCAGTTCCTCTTTTACATCTTACTACTTTCTTTTAATGAATCACTCGGTTATAATTATAGATTTATTTGTGTGATTATGTGATTAATTTCCTGTTTTTTCCTACTGTAACCTCTATGAAAGCAGGACTGTGGCCATTGTTCTCCCAGTGCCTAGCACGGGTCCTGGCACATGGTAGGCTTTAAGTGAATGAACAAATAAATGACAGATACCATGAAAATGCTAGGATTATAACAACTAACCCGATAGTCTCTACCCTTGTTTCCATATCTATAAACAGGTGTTATCGTGACCCCAACCTCATTGGATTATCAAGAACTACATGACATAATAAAAGGAACTGCTTTGCAACAATAAAGGGTGTGACAATTATCCTCACTGCTTCCTTCTCTAGATGCTCCCAGCCCACAGCTGGTGCCGTAATACGGAACACAGCTCTAGGCTGCTGCCTGATGTCTCCAGTCAGCTAACACCTGCCTCCCAACCTAACCAAAGCTTTTCCATGGGATACAGGAGTGGGGTCTCCCTCTGTGCCTGGTCAGCAGCAGTCACATGGCTGACACTCAGTACAGGCATGCTGACTGCTGTTACAGGCAGAACACAGAGTGTAGCTGGGACAGAGGTACAGACAGGTGGGATGCATTTTGAAGGACAGGGAAACATCAAGTATGAGGAAAGTCTGGCAGAAGAAGCACTGGAAGGCAGAGGGTGAGTGCAGAGCTTTGGGATTGAGGTGGTGGTCCCTGGGTGAAGAACACACATACCAACAGGTTTAGCGACAGGCACATTCCCCAGGTAATAGACTTGGAACTTCTGTACCAACTCATTCTTAGGTGCGGGGAATTCCACTGTGGGAAAGAAGAAGAGGGTCAATTGTGATGGCAGACCTTGCTCACTCCCAGTCCCCACCAGCAGGGCATAAGCTGGACACTTGCCCAGCCTAGGCACCACCTCCTTCCTTTCCCCTGCCTCCCTTTAACCAAAGTCCTCCACTTATTTGAGTATTCAGTCTCCACGTGTTCATTTTTCTATCATGTCTGGCCAGGAGCTTGTGCCTCTTCTTGGGTCACCCACTGCAGCTAACAAAGGTGGGCTGGACCTGGTGGAGTTTTGACACTGACCTTGGAAAGGGACATCCACGAGTTTAGAGTGGTCCAGAGAGAGTCCATTTACCAAGCAGCGGGCATTGCGCCGTTCAGCCATGATCTGAGGAAAGCAGGAATGGAGGGAGGAGTGAGGTAGGGTCTATTAGAGCTTCATGGCCCTGGAGACCCCAGCCCCACTCAGTTACCCCACCCACACCCCTGCAGAGCAAAGGTGCAGCTATTCCAGGGAGCAGAGGGGGCCGTGCCTTAGAGCAGATCTCATGCAGGCTGGTGGCGATGTTCTTGGCGGGTGCCTCACAGCGAAACACGTGGCACTTGAGCATCTGGGTCAGCTTATCGCGAGCTACGTAGGCAAAGTCCCTGTTGGGGGAGGGGGACCTCAGTGTCTCCCAGCACCACCCAGTGCGGAGCCTGGCCCCCACCCCACCCACATCCTCCCAGCCCATCACAGCTCCTCCAGGGCTTCTGCCCCCAGATGGTGTCCTGTAGGCGCTGCCTTCCAGAGGGAGGGTGGACAAGCAGGCATGCTGAGGTGGGGGTAAGGGTCGAGCACAGCAGGGAGGTAGGGCAGGGCAGAAGAGAGGAGCTTGGGTGCTTGGAGGTGTCTGGTCCAGGTGTGGGAGGGGCATGGTCAAGCCAAACAGGCATAATACCTCTCTCTGGGTCCGGCAGCACAAGAGAGGTAAAGAACAGGGTTAGAGAGGAGTACTCTGACTGCTGGATGAGCCCCCAACCCGGAGTCCCAGGCCCTGCTCCCACCTGCCACTGTCCCGCCCGACGCCCCACACGCGGATGCTGACGATGGGCTGGGCATGCAGCAGTGCCTGGCTCTGTGGCTCCACCAGCTTCAGCGTCTCGTCCTCCAGCTGTAGCAGCAGATCCTTTCCCTGCAGGGCCGGGAGCAGGCACTCAGTGGCACCCCCGCTGAAAAGGCAGCTGATCTCTGCCACCTCCAGCTCAGGGGACATTAGCCACTGCCCTGTGACCCCTGCTCTGGCAACAGACCACCCACCCTGTGGGCCTCGCCCTAGTCAAGGTCGCATGTCATCTCTCAATTGACTCCTTTTATCAACCTCCTTGCTGTTGTGCCCGCGGTCCCAGAGTCATTCATCCATCCCACAGCACTGCCACTGGGGTGGGCCCACCCCCTCGCACCCCCAGCCCTTCCTGGGCAGGTCGGGTCTCCCACCTGTCACCATCTATCCCCTTCACACTCCCATGGCACCACCACCCCGGTGGCTCAGGGCCTCACCTCCCCCCAGCCCCCAGACATGGGGTCATGCAGATTGTTTTTGTGGTACGAGAGCTGACGGATGCAATTGTTGACTGCCACACTGCTACGTCCAGGGGCCAGCTCCTCCTCGGTCATCTCCACCCAGCCGAGGGAGCGCACGGCGAAACACTGCCAGGCACAGAAGAGGGGCAGGAGGGAGAGGGTCTGAGCTAAAACTGCAGGAGCCACCAGCACAGGACACAGAGGACTTCCCAACTCAGAAGGTGGCAGGAGGGAGGGCGTTCTGAACTAAGACTGAGAGGCTCCCCAAACAGAATGCGGTTAGGGAGAGGGAGATCCCAGAGGAGACCCCATTAGTACAAGGAAGCCAAGCCTAGAAGGGCCTCCAACCAGGCTGCTAGGCTGGCTGAGTTAAAAACTGAAGCACCTCTAGCTGAGACACAAGGTCTCTGTGCTGAGAATGGAAGAACTAACTCAGGAACTGGGAGTAGCACTGAGACCAGAGGCACCCCCAGAGCACAACACAAGGGGCTGCCCTGCACCCAGAGGGGCCCCACCCTGAAGAACGGGAGTTGGTCTTCAACAAACCTTGATCCCTGGGTTGACATTCCGTTGGGGAAGCTTCTCCTCCTCTTGGGGCAATGGCTCTGGGCTGAAGGCAGATGGTAACATTTGGTACAGGGCCCCCATACGTTGAGCTGTCCCCAGGCCCTTCCAAATAGTTCCATCCCACTGCCAACCCACTGCATCTGGTGACTCACCTGAGGCTCTGAGTTGGGAAGGGCAATGTTCCCTCCTCGGAGTCCTTCAGTCCCAACTCCATCGGGGCCTCCTCAGTGGGTTCATCCTTGGGAAGGGGATTGAGGAATCAGGACTAAAATGATGCCCCTTCTCCAGCTACTCCCATGGTAAAGCCAGGTCCCCTCACCCACCTTCCAGAACTCTCCATCCTCAAAGCCTTCTCCATGGGCAAAGCCTGTCCAGGTGAGCTAGGAGAAGGGATGGGGGCAGTGAGTGGATGGCTCATCCTGCTGTAGCAGCATACCCCCTCCACCCCTGGTCAAAAAACAACAGGCCTGGGAGCCTCACCTGGGACTCCTCTTGGGGGCTGCTCCCCTGTGAGGGGGAGGCCTGGCCAGGGGGTTCCCACTGGGTAGTTCCCGTCGGGATGTGCCAGTAGTAGGTCCCTGAGGTGTCCTGGACCCTCATCCATCCAGCCGGCAGGTCGGAATCCGTCTCGAAGGCGTTGGGGTTCCAGAAGGAATCTACCAGGTGGGAGGCTTGGTGAGGGTCAGCCCCAACAAGCAGACAGCAGGTGCCTGTGCCCAACCCCCTCCCTGAGACCCCATGGTTGAGAGAGGCACTGGGGGCAGGGCTACAGCACAACATGGTTCCTGCTTCCTCCTAGAGCGTACAGTCTGGAGTCACCACATGGGGGGCCACCAGTAGGGGACACGGCTCCTGGGCCCTGCTACTGTCTAATGTGGCCACATGTGGGGAAGAAGAAAGGCAGGAAGGAAAGAAGGAAAGAAAGGAGGTTGGGTGACCCCAATTAACCTCCTTATACATATCTACATCTCAGCATGCAGGAAGGTGAACACAACAGCTCCATACATGTGCACACAGACGTACAACATATATCAGCCTTACCACACACCTGTGCAGCCACAAACACCAGTGTGTGCAATACACAGAAAATGCCAGCACAGACGGCAAGTATCACCTACAGGTGCACACGTGTGCTGGGGCAAACACACACTAAGTCCAGCCGTACACTCATGCAGCCACCACAGACAGAGGTGGGTGCCCATACAGCTATATATACCAGCCCCTGCCACACAGATGTGCAACACCACACCACAATGACCCTGGACACACGTATGGGTACCACACATATAGGTGAACATATACTCAGACACATGACATACGGCAACCCCTGCCACATGTGTGCAGACACCACAGATGTTCACATCCTGACCCTTGCCACACAGATGCAGGCAAACATGTCATGTACATGCACACGTACTGCACATCTGTGACATACACCCTTGTCTGCCGGCAAAGCCACACCACCCCATCGCTGTAACCCACTCTGCTCTCCCTGCCAGCCCCGCCCCACATCATGCCAAGCCTCACCTGGGCTGCTGTCCTGCAGGATGATGGCCAGGAAAAAGTCCTGGGAGAACATGGCGCTCATTCTCAGCCCCTCCTGCCTCCACCCTCCCTCCTCACAGCCCCTCCAGCCCAGCCAGCTGGGCTCACAGCCTGGTGCTGGGCTGCAGAGAAAAGCTCATCCCGCCCCCTTCTCACCAGGGCACAGCGTCTGCCAGGCAAGATCCTCCCCCGCCTGGAACTCACTAGGGAGGGGCCAGGACCACCACGCTGGGGAACCTCCTCAGGGTGGGGATGGGAGGAGGAAGGGGGTGCTCATGAGACCCCAGCCCCTCCTGCTCATACCTCTTCTTTTTCACCCTGGCTCCCCTCCCCCAGTCCTGAACCTCCATCCCACCGTCCAGAGGTCACGTCAGTGTTATAGTCAAGCCCAGTCTTAGGGACACGAGGAGACTCAGCCCCTGGGAATACCCCAGATGCCTGGGGCCCTGCCAAGCCTACAGCTCTCAGCATAAACAGGGTGTGGCTTCAAGGCCTTCAGGGATCCCTCCCCTGCCCAGAACCTGCCCAGCAGTTTGAACCCAAGGGTGGACCCTGAGGGCCTGGGCTCCAGCAAGCTTGAGGCTGGGCTTGGGGCTTCCCAGCACCACCCCCCCTCACCTGCCAGGGCCCAGCTAGGCTGCAGCGTCTCCTCGGCAACCGCAGCACCAGGACCGGCTGGGAGCGCCCAGGCTGCTGACGTGCTTCCCGTTGCCAGGGAAACCAGGAATCCTGACTGGTCCAAGAGGCAGCACTGAGGGACAGGCAGTCCCAAGACCCAGGCTGCTGGGCAACCAGACACACAGGGGCTGGGAGTGGGCGTGGTTACGCCAAGGTGGCTGCACACCTGCTGTGAGAGTTATTCAGGCAAGGTGCCTCACCGCCTCCGCTTGCAAATGAGGTGGGCCCACAGACACCCAACGGGAGGGGTTCTTCTTGGCCATCCAGCTTCTAGCAGTCGTCACTGCCTCTCCTATCACCTGCCCCCACCTCAGACCCTCAGGAATAAGGTCTCCAGTGGGCACCCGACACTGGCAGAGGCTCAGGGAAGGCCTGCTTTCCCCCAGACACCCTCCATTGCTTTCAGGGCTCTCCTGCCCAGACCTTCCAGGAACACCACACCCAGGGCCTCTGGGCCCTCCACAGCCACAGCCTGCTTCATGAGGGTCAGACACTTTTGGAATCTGGGACCAGCCCACCATCTCCTGACTGAGTCACACTCACTAATCCATCTGCCATCCCTGTCAGCCTGTACTTCAAAGAGCTTCATCCTTCCGACCGGTCCTGGAGGGGCAGTTCCTCCCCCCGTGACCATCTGGGATGGCCTTCTGGAGCTTGGCACGTCTCCCATCAAGCACCAGCCCACCTGGGCCTTTGCTTCCACATGCATGCACTTATTCCGGAATACACACCTTCACTCCGCATTGATTCATGCAGGCAGTCACACATGAAATGTTCATGTATCATTCCTTCCTTCATTCATTCATCTTTGAATGCCTCAGCGGCTGAGCTAGGTGTACTCATTTGCTGAGGAATCAGTGATTCACTTAATCCTCTCCCACCCACGTCACTACCACAGTCCAGGCTACTAGCATTTTTCTACCTGGATCATTGCAACAGTGTCTTAACTGGTCTCGTTCATCCGCGTCTAGTCTCCTCCAATCTGGGCTGCACACTACAGTCCAAATTATTCTTCTGAGATGCTAGACTAATCAAGTTACTCTCCAGTTTAATCCTCTTAATTGTTTTCTCATTGCCCTCAGGTTAAAATCAAAATTCCTCCCCAGGTTTTAAGTACTGTCATGCACCTCCAACTGTCTGCCTCTCAGCTATCTCTGGCCACTCCCCACCCCCCTTCTTTCTCTCCTCCCTCCCCACCTCTGCGTTGGGACATATCCCTTATCCCCTCCTAGCCCAGCCTCCCCTAAATCTTCACCTTGCTATCACCCACTCCTCCTTCAGACATCAGTATACAGGTGGCCACTTCTCAAAACTGACACACTGCCCTCTCCCCCACCACATATACAGGCAGGGTCAGGGACCCCTCCTGCACCTCCCCTGTCCCACAGCTCATTGCAATGATCATAACAACCTGTTTCTTTCTCTCTCTCCTCACCAGGCTGTGAGGGCCATGAGGTTAAGAACATCTTTCCCCCACAGTATACATCTCCAGCATTTTAGGACAAGGCTTGGTACAGAGTAGTAAAGTTCATTCATTCACCATTCATTCCTTTAATTCACACATTCATGCATTTGCAAGCAATCAAGAACTTGTGGAGATCCTAGGATAAGAAGGAGAAAATAATTTTTGCTCAATTCTAGCCTCATTCCCATAGGAGCCCAAACCTTCTCTATGGCCCTCATGGTTATAGGAACACAGTCACAAAAGTGTAAGCAGTCACTTGGCCCCTCCCCTGGGCTGGCCCCACACCTCTATGCACCTGGTCTCCACCAGTGCATGATCTTTGAGAATCCTCTCTACACTCCTAAGCCCTTGCTGAGGCCACTGCCCATGCCCAGCATACCACTCCCAGTTCATCAGTAGTTCTGTCCTCCTACTCCCAGAATTAGGCGCAGCCACCACAGTGACCACCCAGGGGCCACTGAGCAACCAGGCCTCTATCTGGCTGCTGACTCACACCCCTCAGGACTGCAAACTAGCAACCTGCAACCTGCAGACTGATGCAAGCCTCAGACAGATTTTATGTGGCCTGTACAATGCTTTTAAAACAAACAGTTGCTAAAGTTTAGAAATTAAGATATTTGACATCAATATCTAGTTTTCAGTTTCCCTTGAACTGGCTCCATTGAGACTACATTTTCCCCAACCCCAATCTCAAAAATAACCAGCTAGAGTGGACCAGGGTCTGTTCCCTTTAAAGGGAGTCAAGGCAATGACCATGAAAGGCCATTAACAGCACAAGAAGAGAGTAATCAGACTTCGCCTTTGGTAGCAGTATTCAATACCACCTACAAGTTCTTGCACAAACAAAACACAAAAACCCTGAAATCTGAATCTGATCATGGCTCTAGAACTAACTATCAATTTATAGGAAATCCTGGAAGAGGAACATGTTAAATACCACTACAGGGAGAGAGTATGAAAAATTCCAGACCATGTAGAAAACCCAGGACAAACAACATAATTCTTCAGTTAAAGAAAAAAAAAATTGCAAGCAAAAAATATAAAGAGAAAGAGTTGGAGGTGGAACTTATAGATTAAAAGAAACTTTAAGTAAAAGACATATCAACCAATTCACACACACAAACATTGACTGGATATTTGATGATATTAAGGAATTATTGTTAACCTTTTGTAGGTACCATAATGGTATTGTGGTGTTTTTTGTTTTGTTTTGTTTTAAAGAGCTTTATCTTTTAGAAATGCACACATAAACATTTACAAATGAAAGTATTTGCCTGAAAATAACCTAGGCTGGGGCCCAGGGGTGGGTGAGGGCGTACGTGCAGCAAGATCAGCTTTGTATTGATGATTGCTGAAACTGTGTCATGGGTAAATCAGGCTCATCATTCTGTTCTCTCTACCTTTGTATACGTTTGATAATGCTCATAATAAGTTTTTTGAAAGGGGATAGTGTGCAGTCCCAGGCTCATCAAACCACCTGCTCCCTACAAAGGTCCACAGTGTGGGGTGTGGGTATGGTGTCTTCAACCTGAGGATGGGAGTCTTTCCTGATCTTGATTTATGCTCCCAGGAACTCCAGGGCTATAGCCACAGCCCATTATCTTTGCTCTTTGCTCTCTAGCTCTGTCTGTGTTTCTACATGACATTAGCAAATTTGGAGACTCAATTTATTTAAATGGGACACATTTAATGACCAATCCTTGGAATCCTAACATCCATTCTCCTCCCACCCCCGCCAAGAAGCATATGTCTCTTTTTTGTCTGTTTTCTAACTTTTAGTCAATATCTTATTCCTGACAAAATTGTATCCTTGTCAGTGTGGTGCTCTGCACAGGGCATGTTGATCATAAAAGCACACGACATCCCCAGTTTTTCCAGACAGACCTGGCTAGCGGGAAGGTGCTGGCTGCTCCCTCCAGACCTGGCCTGTTAAAACAGGGCAGACTGTCCCAAGTGCACCTCAGTGCATCGTGCCATGTGCATTGGTGGCAATGTAACACGGGGGCCACGAGCCTGGGCTCAGACCTAGTTTAGATCTCAGTTCTATTGTGATGTCAGACTGTCTGTGACCTTGAGAAAGCTACTAAACCTCCCAGGTCTCTTTTCTGTCATCTGTAATATGGACATAATAACAGCATCTACCTCAAAGCATTATTGTGAGGATTAAATCCAAAAACACTGAGCAGAGGGCCCGTTACCTAGTAAGTGCCCAATAAACAACTAGGCCACATACCAACCATGAGGGCATGCACAAAGGACTGATCCACCCATCAGGGCATGCAAGCTGGGAGACCTACCAGACTGCCCAAGCACTCCGAATGAGAAGGCCTGGGCATGGCCTGCTATGGACTGAGGACATAATTAGCTCTGCAGCTCCTAGCAGGCTGGTGCTGGCCTCTGTGTGGAGAGGCCTGACCTCTGCCTTGATGCCCTCCCACACGCCCATGTCAAGCTCCACCAGGTACCTGTGTCTTCCGGGGAGCCATAGGAGGGGCTGCCCTGAGATAAGGTAGCCCAGCTTGAGTCCTCGTCACTGGCTGCACTGTTCCGCATGCCAAACAGGAGGCTGGCACTCTTGCTGTGTTCCCGGGGGCCATCTGTAAGGGCCTGGGGCCCTGGCGGGACCGCTACACTCTCCAGGGGCTCTGGAAGCCCTGGCGGAGAAGACAAGTCCTCCTCCTCATCATCATCATCCTCATCCTCATCATCCTCTTCAGCCTCCCCTGCCGCCTTCTCCTCGCCATCATCTGGCCCCTGCTCTTGGGTGCTGATGATTAGGCCAGGTCCTCGAAGCCCCCGGTTCGCCGCGTTGTGGGCTGAGAGCTCCAGCTCAGAGTACAGGTGTATCAGGCCTTTGGGGCCCAAGGGTGCCATCTCAGGTTCCTGGCTGGCCTCCTCTGCCAGTGTCAAGGTCACGTTGCGATTCTGGTCACGGTGCGCTGTGGCGGCCCGCCGGAGCTGGTTCTGGCCCTCCTTTAGCCACTTGGCATTGGCGGGGCCTGGCTCAGGCCCACCACCCTCCCCCATGGCGCTGCGCAGGTCCTTGGGTCCCACAGCTGTGGCCTGCAGCTTGGCGTTGAGTAGCTGGTTGTGGGCAGCGTGCAGGGGCAGGGGTAGGCTCAGTGCGGGCCCTCCGTGGCTGTTGGCGTTAATGGCCGACTGGCTCAGTGACGATGGAACAGACATGGCCTTGGCAGTTCCTGCAGGGTAGGGAGGAGAGATGCTGTTGAGTCTCTGGGCCAGGACAGCAGCCTCCCTGCTTCTGTCCCAGGGCTACGCCCTGCGTCTCCTCATCTCCCCATGAGCTACTTTCCTTCAAGAATGACAGAGCTCAACTTCTGTCCCGGCACCATCACCCCCATCACAGCCTGCCCCATCCCCAAATCCCCAGCTCTGAGTTTTCTGGGATGGCACAGCTGGTGCCTGCTGTGCCCTCGCTCCCACCAGCAGAGCCTCCGCACAATGGCTCTCTGTGCATCCCCACCCCCAGCTCATCCAACTGGGGCACACTGTGCCAGGGACACCGCTAGCACAGGACTGGCTCATGAGTTTTGGACACTGGATGCTGACCACCCCTTTCCTCCTGCCACACTGCCTTCCCCGAGCCCCGCCACTGTGAGCCCCCTTAGACTGTGTCCCTATCACCGTAAAGCACTGAACTCAACCAGCCCGCAAGCCCACCCTACACGACTGTGAGGACAGGAGGGAACCAGCTGTAGAGCCAGCCCCTCAGGGCACGGCACTGGGAAGGCAGGTCACAGAAGAAGGCCTCTCGGCTCCAATTCACACCTCCTTTGGCCAGCTGAAGCTACATTTGGTGATCATTTCTATGAAGCCACTTCCCTCCAGCACCAGTATCCCTGCCAGCCCTCTCGAGGCCCCATCCTGGGTCACTGCAGGAACCTTTGATCTAGACCCTGCAGCCCTTCAGGCCTTTGCCCAAATGTCCCCTCCTCGGGGAGGCCTTCCCTGCACACCCATTTTAAAATTGCAGGCTACCATGGCCCCTCCTCAGCAATCCCCAAACTCTTCCCAAGCACGTTTCATCATCTGACAAGCTCATTTATTATTTACCTTGTCTAATTATTGTCTCCTCATTTATAATTTCCATGTTAGTGAAGATTTTGCCCTTTTTTTCATACAGCATGCCCAGTGCCTAGCATAGTCCTGGCACAGAGCAGGAACTCAACAAATATTGTTGAATGAAAGTATGACGCTTCCCCACCCCTGCCCACCCCCATCTCCTCCAGACCCCATTTGGCTTCTCCTCTGCCAGTGCCAAAAGACACTGGTTACAGTACTGTGCCTCCACCATGGCTCACAGCACCCTGACCAAGCACCAGCTGCCCTCCAGGTCCAAAGATCTCCTGTTCCGAGATGATGGCCCACCCCTCCTGGCCCCCGGCCTCCCTCCTCACAAGCCCTGCGTGGGTCACTTCCTCCACAGTGATTTGAGCTCTTCTTACCCTTCCATCCCACACCCAGGGATCACCCTCAGGCCAGACCCATCCTCCTCACTCTCCCTGACCTTCCACCACTCTGCAGCTCCCATACTGAGTCCCACCACGAACTCCCCCAGACAGCCCTACTGTATTACTCTCTCCTTCCCTCCCGATATCTCACTCAGAGTTCTCTCTTCCTGCCCCGCCCTTTTCCACCCCC